ACACACACACACACACACACACACACACACACACACACACACACACACACACACACACACACACTCTTATCAGAAACTGCCTCTGAGCCACTCCTGTCTAGATTATAGAGGTAAGGTCCCACTAGTACATTGTTTAACCTGCTAAATCACACAGCTGGGCTTGGTATAGATATAAATTCAGAAATATAAACATGACTGTGATTTATGATGGCTGATAAGAATTTCAGACTTTTGCTCAGCTTCCTGGAGTCCCTTCGGCGGTATAACCGCATCTCTTCTCATTTTCTTTCGCTGCAGTTCTTTGGTGCTGTGGTGACCTTTGTGTACGCAGCCAGTGCTTTCTTCTCCTACTTGGACTGGAAGGGGGACGGAGGAAACGCCGCCACCAACACAGTGCCGACTTAGGGCTGCGCGGCCAGCGGTGCTGCTCCCAGGAACAAAGCTCACAAAACTCAGATCCTGACTGAGGCAAACCCTGATAATAACCACGAGATGAAATCTGTTCCAGGTGGTTTATTGTTTTAGCCATCCCAGTAATACAGTAAATATACTGTATTACTACTACTACGAAATGTAATAATCCTAGATTGCATTAAAAATACACTTGAATCATTATGTACATAAAGTTATAAATTTCAGTAATAATTGAACAAAATCTGAAAATGTGAGCAGCATTAAAAGAAAAATAAGCACAGGCTGCATGTGCTAACTACAGTGGAGGGTTATTTGGTTAGTCTGAGATCACCAGTGGAAAAAGCTGTTAGCTAAGGGAGGACCGCAGATCTCGACCTCCAGCTTTGGGCAGTTCTCTGCTGCATTCTGCATCTATCAACAAGAAGAGGAGGATGAAACCGCTGAAAGTTGGCTTCACAGTTTGGGTTTACTGGGCCTAACAGAGCCTTTCAGCAATAAAACCACCCATAATGCACCTGTAAGAAAATAATCACGATGCCGACACACTGACACTGGATATTTCTGCATGATTCAAATATCGATCCACAGGCGTGGAACACTGTTTTTGTGTGATTTAAGTGAAAGTCTGCTCCTCTCCTGCTGTACTGTACGTGCCTTTATGAACCACGCGAGTCTTTTTGTACCAAGAGTTTGGACGTTGGTGAAATCCTGCGCTGAGTGCTAGAGCTCACCTACACACTTCAAATAAACGACTGAGGTTTTTCTTTTGTGCTTATTTGAAAATATCGTTTTGTGTTTGTTTGTTTTTCACAGACAATCGTAACAACAACAGCATTTCACCGGAGAAATAAATATACTTGGAAAATGAAACATTTCTAAACACGTAAAAAACAATTTGTACCAAAAACTAACTGCAGACACACACAATCATTTTACATTAAACGTCACTTTGACAAGTTCGAAACTTAAAGACTGTTAATATAATTTATACGTCCATGAAACATATATTAGTTCTACTTTACTACTTTCTGAAAAACGAAGCATGTTTGTTTCACAGCACAGGGACAGAAATACTCGACTTCCTGTTTCAAACAGGCCGTTCCAGTAAAAGCTAAACAGAATCACTGCACACGAGTGAAAGCATGAAAATGTGAATTACAGTTGAAGAAATATTAACTTTTCAAGGAGTCACATGCAGTCGAGTGATTGTTAACAGAAAGTGGGCAAAACCTTCAAACTTTCATGGCAAACAGACACAGAGGCTCTTCCACTGACCCCTCTACATAAAACGCAGAGAAACAAATATAAATTATCCGTTACAGACGGAAGATTTACGTTAAAAGACTCTGAATCGAACACTTTCATTAAGGCCCTGGAACAATTTTCCAGAGATTCACTGAGATTCATTAAAGTCAGCATGCTTGGAGCCTCCAAGGTTCAGAGATGTGACCACCAGTCCCTGACTCAGGTCTGGACACCGGCCCTCCTTTTCCTAGAAACACACAAATACATCCAGCATTAATGTACAGTACCACACACACACACACACACACACACACGAGGTCGCACACACACACACACACACACACACACACACACACACACACACACAGGGTTCAAAACTTCATAACAAAGAGCCACGTGTCACAGCTGCCCTGTTATTTAAATGGGGCCACTTTTATAGTTATTCTCCAGCTCACAGAAAACTCACAGCTCTATATTGCAGAAACATCTCCTTGAAAGCCATGAAGTCAGTGAACGTAAGCAACATGTCAAAGATGTCACCTGACACTTCCTCCTTGTGCTGCCTGCAGAGGAAGGAGATAAACTCGTCACTTTTTCAGTGTACTTGTGTGCCACCTTGTGGTCTATTGCAAAATAACATTTCTTACGAGCAACACAACATAACTGACACATGGGCTGCTTTCAGTTCAGGTTCCACTTCTGTCACATCTTACATGAGTAACTCTTTAAAGGTGTCCATGCTGAAGCCGGGAATTCTCTCCATCAGCTGCTGCTCCAGGTATTTTTCCAGCAGGTCAACCTAAATAACAGCCAAGATTCTGCTTTAAGTCAACGTATTTGTAAAAACTGAACATCTCTGTATGAGTGTGAGAGTGAAATCTGCCCACACTTACATATTCATTAAAGATGGGCGTGTAGCTGAGCTTGTTCTCATCAGAGTCATCAAACTCACGGTAATGTTTCTCCATGAAAATCTGCTGAATCTGCTGGAAGTCGTCCTCTGAAAGAGAAGCAGTGGACATGTAGAAAGCGCGTGTTCATCACTAACTGGTGGCACTGTCAGTGCACCTACCCATGATGATGTCCTCTATGCAGCCAATAACTCCATCGAAGGCCGTGTCTGCAGCCGAGGAACTGAAGGGAGAGAAGTGAGAGAAATCAGCACAAACTCCACGAGTTCCTGCTCTGTGGTGGATTTTACACAGCAAGAGAAAATCCCAAATGACTCTGAACTTTTGCACCCGTTAAACATGTTTGCTGTACAATCACTCCACCCTGGAAAAAGAGAGAAATCGCTAAAAAGCCCAAAATTACCCTGATATTCATGCATCAAATCTGACTTAAAACAGGACGCCAGCTTCCTGCAGACGGTTAGAAAGCGTTTCACAACAACCCACCTGGAAATAGCAAAGTGCTCCTCGTCCGTATCGAACACGTTTACCATGTTGTCTCCACTACTCCGGATTTCTGAGAAGATAAAGCGAGCACACAGGTGAGCACTGCCCTTCTGCTAACACCTGTAAGATAAAACAGACAGGTAGCCAGCGCTAACGTTCACAACAAACGCAACATCAGCTCTGAAGTGTTTCCGTTACTCGCTCTCATCAGAGTCCCCGCGCGAGCAACGTCAGTTAGCCGAGGCGGCTAATCAAAGACGCACGCGGCGTTAAGTTGCCGCCATTTCTCATAAGTGAAAAAGTTCATTTACAGAAGTGTCGTGACGTGTTTAACTCACCCGGCTCCCTGATGTCCATGTCGGCTAAACTGCTCACTAGCGTACGTAATCCTGTTACCAAGGAAACGAGTGAACTTTGTGCGCCTTCGTGCTCCGTCGGGTAAAACAAAAACTACCGTATATCGGTTCCCACATTCGAAACAAGACCACATTTATCTGGAAGGGAAACAGCTGGTACTACTACTAATATTATACATCAAAATGTTCACGAATGTTGCAGATTACACTTGTTTGTTCACCAAATCATTCGCCATGAGGACGATTCACGTTTCTTCCATCAGGCCCGTTACTTTTAAACCGTCACCTACAGACGATCATTAGCCTGTTTTAGCGGAACCAGGTGATTGTTGGAGCTTAAAGATGCAAAAAGGAAATACGTATAACTCAGATGCTGCCTGACGTCCATCAGAAGCGCTGAAAATCGGAGATCATATACTTCTTTTGTTCGTGCCACAAGAGAAGAGTGAATGAGACGGTGGATCGACCATAACTTTTATTTTAAAGTATCAGTTAAAGTTTTATTATTGATATTATTGCAAATTTAAAATAGAAATCTAAAAGGTCGTATTAATATCGGTAATATTATGTAAAAGTAATTAAAATCATCTTCAGCTGCAACACTAAGGTGAGGTATTAACGAATCTGTAATTATCCTGTAGCATAACGTATTATATTTAAAGTACTTCATGTACATTTTTATGCCAAATCCGACTTCGTAGGTTATTATCATACCAAGCAGGATTAGGACTTTCCAAAAGGAGTTATTAAATACAAAATAATGTTTAAACTGTTTTGCTGTGTCACTTTTCCCCTGACACATCTGTCCTGAGTGCATCGGGCTTCATGTGAGCCTGAGACAGTGCCCAGTGTTTTCTGCACTGTAATTCTTTGTGATAAATTACCAACACACCAAGAGACAAAAACATAGCAATAGATCCCTGACTAATATCCAGAGGAGATCAGCTGTTACTTAAAGAGTTGCTGTGTGTGTTTAAAAATGTCCACATTTCACAGGCCAGTGGGTAAAATGATCAGTGAGTGTATCAATAGTTTGGTTTTGTAGCAGGAGTCACACAAAAGAACCACATGAACATACATTTATTACAAATGTCACAATCCAGGAAACAATTCTTCAATAAATCACATCTTTGGGAACTCGGGGAGATTTTCCTTTACAGATGTTTTAAATACATTCTCACACACGCACACGCGCACGCACACACGCGCACGCACACACACGCGCACACACACACACGCACACACACACACACCTCCATGGATAAGGTGCTCCAGGAAACTACAACATAGCAAACAACGACCATACCGGTCTTTTGTCATACCGAGAGATTCTGCTGTTGTCATAAACCGTTCTAGTATCGTGTGAATGATTTTACTGATTTTGTTCATGCAGCATGAAGCATCAACTCCTTCAGAAACTATAAGAACAGGATAAATGTAAAATTGCTGTCATTTGAAATGCCATTGGGCGTTTTAAAATTGTACAATACAATTTTACTGAATTATGATTTAACGTACGATTAATTTTGTCACCTGTTTCCAAAATACAAACATAATTCAGTCAACCCAGAGATGCTTCAAGTAGAGGATGGACAGAAAGACAAACACAAGGCAAAAGACGAGAAGAGGGAAGATGAAGAAAAGGGAGCAGGAGTTGTACAGAACCCGCGTTCTTACTCAGCCTGAGCACTTCTGACAAACTGCTTTTAACACAAGATCACCAGCAGCGCTGTGACGTGCAGCACGTGAACGATCAATCCACATTTCCTCCTGCAATTCACCGCTCAGCTCGTGAGCCAACATCAGCGTTCAGCCTCATTTTAAGTGACCAACTAAAAACTCTTTTTGTGGACTGAAAAGTGTCAGGTTTGTCATCACAAACCAAAAATCAAACAGCCTCTCAGACAAGCTCGACCCCTGTTCCCCAACTGTTGGCACTAATCAAGTTTTACAGTGTGTGGTGGTGCGAGTACACACTTCCCTTACACTGGTTCTTTAAAATGTGCATTTATAACCGGGAGGAAGAAACCTAATTGCGATCACTTGTATGTGACTTTAATGTAAATTTTAATCCCCACATTCTGTGGTTGCTTTATAAACGAGTAAAGCACAAAAAGGAGGGTCAAATCAATCAGTTCTTATTCAGACAGAAACACGTTATTTCTGCCATTTACTTTCTTTTGTGATTTGCTTTGTAAACTTAATCAGAAAATTGAACTCAAGCGATTAAAGTCAATTAGACAGAGTAGAATCTGAGATTTTAGCCAACAATAGAATGAAAAACCTCCTACTGGGTGATCGATCAGTACAGACGGGAAAGCTGCCCAGGGTTTGAGTGTTGGAGAAAATGAAAATGCTACAGTGAGAACACAATCACTCACGCATCTGTAAGCAAAAAAAGAAAGTAAGACACATTTCAAGTTTGTACCTTCGGTTTAATACTGTACTACAGGCTGCGTTTTCCTCTGTGACCAAGCCCCGTCACGTCTGCAGACGTGTGCATGACGGCGATGGGGTTAAATAGTAGCAGCCTCAGGACTGAAAGCACAAGTGGGGTCCTCGTGATGGAAAGGTTCTTTGTTTTTAAATAGCTTTACACGGGCCTGGAGATAAGAACTCGGTTCTGTCTGTAGCCGAGTTACACGGTCTCTGCGCTTTTATTTGGAAAAAAAAAAAGTAGAAAGTTTTCTTGGCCCAGCTTCTGCAGCGAGTTGTCAGAAGGATATAAAAGAGGAGATGTAGATAGACGAGGAAAAGCTCCTGGGGGTTCCAGCTGTCGGTTTTTTGCCCCTCCTCTCATCTCCTTTCTTTCATCTATCCACCCCTCCATTGCCACCATCTCGTCTGACCAGAATTCAGCGTTCTGCCATCATCGCCACACTGTGGCAACGTCCTCGCAGCCCTGTGGGGTAAGAGGGGATTAGAGGAGGAGGAGGAAGCTAAAGGGCTTGTGTGCCTCCGTTTACTGGAGCGAGCGCAGGAAGTGTGTCAGGAGACGTGTGCAATGAGTCTGACGCGGGTCTGGATGTCGTGGCGGCAGAGGGGGCACGTCTCTAACTGTAAGGCACACTCCATACACATACCACTGGGGAAAAGAGACGGGACAAAGTCAGATTGTTCCTGTTTAAGGAACAAAAATGAACTTGAGTTTCACAGACGTTTTATTGACAGCAGAAGAACACATACCCATGTCCACAGGGCCGCAGCTCTGTGTCGGCCATGACGTCACAACACAGCGTGCAGCAGTTGTCTCGGATGCTAACCTGCCTCATTAAGGCCAGACGCCGGTGTCTAGGAAACACACAAATACACACGTGACCTTTCTATACACATGCAGGTGCACCGTCTGCTGGGGTTTGTTCTGTCTAAGGAAAAAGAAGACTGGACACACACACGGACAGTTTTCATGCAATCGTTCCTTCGCTTCACGCCGTCTCCCTTTCCCACAGCGTTCAAAATCGATGTGTGGAGGGAGTGACTGATCAGAGTCATTACACTCATTTAGAGCCATGCATTTCAAGTTCAAAATAATCCCCAATTACCTTACGGTGCTCTGAAACAAGCTTAACCCCTTTTTTAATTAAAAAAATGTTAATTGTTGCATTTTTTGCAAATGTAAAAATAAATCAGTAAATAAAATAAAATCCAGATGTGGAATATGCAACTCAAACGGTTACATTTAGGTTTCTTTTTAAAGGTCACATTTTATGTACATTTTTAGGACGAACAAGCTAACGTTGAGCTGCTGAAGCTCAGCTGACAGATTTTCTGTGGGACAGCTGCTTAATGCGTCATGCTGCACACGGTGGTGTGGACAGACGCTTGGTTTTTAGATGCAGCCATTTCTATTGCATCAGTCTTTCCTTCATTTAGCCCGACTGTGTTTCAAAGAAAAGACAAAAACAGAGGAAATGAAAAGCTGTCCATCCTTTTCATTTGTCAGTCAGTGACAGGACACTATAACAAACACCTACGTCGAGTCTTTTCTTTGTCCACGTTATTTTGCTATTTTTGTTGATGATGTTTTAGAGACGCGATGATCCAACTGTGGCAACGTTCAAGGTCCCGTTGTTGCAACAGATCACTGCAAAGTTGAGTCAACAACATCCTGACACAGAGGAACATCAGAGCTTTGTACTAAGCAGCTGTAGCCCGTCTCCATCCTGTCTTATTAAATCAGATATGACATCAGGGTTTTGTTTTTGCTCCACTTTCAGAGTATGGTTGCGCGGTTACACTGAGCCAAGACCGAGCATCTGCCCAGAGCAAAGTTTGACGTGTAGGAGACAAATGCACTGAAGATTTTAATGTTACCGTTGAAATAAAAGTGCTGGTTTGATGCAGCCGACAGACTCTAATGAGAGGTTTAAAGAATGATGAGTGAATGAATTCGTTGTATAAAGCGCTTTGAATGCTCAGAGTAAAAAAGCTATACAAGAACCATTCAGAGGACAGTTTAGTTACAGCAGATTACACACTGCTTTCCCAACCTCTCACAGCATCATCCAACACCACGAAATAAATAAATAAAATATGTCACGGACCTATTTCATGTTTTACCTGGGCAGGATGATCTTTTCACTGGGCAGCAGTGAAGCAAAGTCATTGAAGGTGCTGAACTTGACAGAAGGTGGGTGACGGAAAGGCTTGGCCCCGAAGTTAAACTCACACTGCTGGTACGACATGAAGCTGGCTGCCGCGAAGAAGCCAGACCTGGCACAGAGGGGAAGAAAACACGGGGATAAATGAGAGAAAATGTGGAGACAGAACAAAATAAAGAGAAAAATGAGGAAAGGAGAGGAAGGGAGGAAGTGAAACATGACGAGAGGAGATGACAGACTTTGTGTGGACTCACGTGGCAGATGAGAACACCTGTTTCTCTGGCGGGAGCTGATGTCCGTTCAGGTAAAAGATCATCTGCTTTTTGCTGAGATCCAACAGGAAGCCGATGGCATCTCCTAAAGGGAACGCACACGCAGCAGAATGAAGCTTTGGCGTGCTATTACTGTTATCTGTGTGGGATGTGGGCCAGAGCCTGAATGTTGGCAGTGACAGCGTGGGCGCTAAAAATCACAAAACAGTCACGCCGAAATAACAAAGCTATTTCCAAACACTGACACTCATGTCATTATAACACAGGCTTCTTAAAATGGGAACATTTGAAAATGTCTTTAAAGTCAGCAAAATGATGGCAGCAATGCCTGATTATAACTACATGTATGTCAGTACTGCGTACCCTCCTTCCAGCAGGGGTGAGCATGAGGTTTACTGCGAGCGTTGTACCAGATTAGCTGCCTGCAGCCATCGTACGCACACGAGTATTCATCATCTCCTATTCCATAACCTTCCTGTAACACACACACACACACAGATTAGGTGGTGCAGTCAACCCAAAGGAGAATATCTAATCAGATTCAGAACACTTTGCTAAGGGCAAACTGTAAAAGTGTTCAAGTACATGGTTTAGGAACTTGCTGTCCTTGGTGGCCCATCCGATCTGCATCACCCCCGATGTGATAACCGTCACCTCGTAGTACCAAACGCCCGAATCCACACAGAATGTACAGCGCACGCTCTCAAAGGATGAGGCATCACATCGCGCCTGAAGACAAGAGCAAACAGGAGGAGGTTCAGACTTTTCAGTTACAGTAAAAACTCTGCATCTAATCTGCATTCACACGCAGACTGACCTCGAGTCCAGTCGGGGAGATCTTGAGGTACTCGCTAACATCGTTGCTGTTCAGCATGGCGTTGATATTCGTGAGGTTGACTTTTTCGTAAGTGAACTGACGACCGTCCTTTAGGACTGGATGGAGAAGAGCGGGAGAAAAATGATGGCTTTTCTTTTGTCGGTGACTCAGAGGATTATAATTGGCTCATCTAAGAAACTACACCAGCACAGAACAGGTGAAACATGGGGCTACTCACACAAGTTGTCAAGGCTCCACTGTGCACAAAATCCAACCTGCCTCTTTAGATAGTCAGGATGTTCTGCCCAAGACTCCAGAACAGCCAGACGATCGCTGATCGAAGACTCGGACACAGTCAGCTTGTTCTCGCCTAAGCAAAGGAAACCAGAACATCTGTGAACCTCGCACAATACGTCACAACACTGCTGTGTGTAAAAGAATCCCTGCACGGGAGGATCACAATTAGCTGAGCATCAGCAGCTTCAGTGCTGTTTGTGCACCGCATCGAGCTACAGTCGCCCACGTTTCAGGAGCACTCGGAGCAGAATTGACAACACAAATGGGAGAAAACATGTTCAAGAACAAACAGCATCAATAAAACGTGAGCCATTTGAAATGAAGCAAAACAAATCACATGAAACCCTGTCTCTAAACAGACCTCACAGTTCTTTATGCAGTGACTTCAATTAAATATGTAGGGGGCAGCTCAATGCTGACATTTTAGAGAAACTATAGGAAAAGATTTGTAACTGAGACCATTACGTCCTAGTCGTGAAATACAGAGAAGTGGTGGGTTTTAGTGCTATTATGCTTCATCGCTCAGGTAATGAAACTGCTAAACAAAAGCACTCATCTGAATTCTGTGAAACACTAATCGACAGCAGAAGAGCCGTTTACAGCTCCTCGGCTCATTTATCTGATAACACACGTCTTATTTCACCAGCCTAATCGTGAGTCTTCGTTTCTAAACTGGCTTCATATAGTGAGTGAACCTACTTGTCTGAGAGAACTTCTCCAAAGCGATGAGAGCAAACAGCATGACAGTGGGGTGGGCCTCGGAGCTCTGGAGGAACCACAAATATTACACATTCATTTTCCACATATTTCACCAATTAAACAAACCATTAACTTTCATGTTATAATTCAACCTTAACGCTCCCTTGAGTACTTTATAAAAAGTCGCTGCAGTGACGTGATCGCATTCATGTTCGCAGTGGCACAAATACAACCAGTCCAAAGAAACGCACTTATTCCCACTAAATTTGGCCACTTCAATATTGCATCTGTTGTCTTTGTCAGAAAATGCTGATGTGTTTTGTTGCTGTTGTTAGACCAGCCTGAAATGCGCACTGCAACAGACCCGACTTCTTTATAGCTCTGACAAAACTTGGTGACGCAGTGTCACAGAAAACAGTGCAGCTCTAATAAACAGCGAGAGCGATCCCAGCAGATGTAGCAGAGTGGTGTCCACATCTTTATAGTCCACCGTCTCTGCCGTGCATCATCGGGGATTTGTAACCTGGCCGCTCGACGTGATTGGACCTTACCAGACTTCGTTTTAAGTAACCTGAAGCTTTCTCACTGTTCTTGAAAGTAGAAAGTTACCCTAGGGCTGCTCAATTAATCGAATTGTAATCTCGATTACGATCTGGGCTTTCAACGATCATTAAAAATGACTGAGCCGATTATTAGCCCCTCCCTCGTGCTTTACTCTCGCGCTGCTCCGTGTGGCAAATCGAGCGCACCTCTCTGCGTTTCGAACACGCGTCACAACAATTAAGAGCAGCGGTCTCCAACCTTTTTTGCGCCACGGACCTGTTTATGCCCGACAATATTTTCACGGACCGGCCTTTAAGGTGTCGCGGATAAATACAACAAAATAAAACCAGTACCGGTACCGAAAAAAAGAAGATTTATTCATAACACACGTGAAAAGACCCAGGAAAACAGAGTTAACGATAAAAACGATAACAAAATAACGCTGAAAACCGATAAAACCCTGAAAAACAGACATTTCACACCTGAGCCTCAACTCTCGCGGCCCGGTACCAAACGACTCACGGACCGGTCCGAGGCCCGGGGGTCGGGGACCGCTGATTAAGAGGACCCGAGGGAAGCTCGGAAAGCTCAGCAGAAGTTATTTGGAGAGGAGAGTGACTGCTGCTGGTTGTAAAGAGGTAAAAAAAAAACTTGAGTGGTGTGGAAACATTATGGGTTCAGTCAGACGTGGATCAAGTAGACACAGTGTGTAAACTTTGCTACAGTGTAGCTGCACCACAGAGCAACACTGCAAAGCTCACTAAACAGATGTTTCCATTTTTCATTGATTTCTTGTACTGCAAACATTTGCACTGTTTTATATTATTTTTTAAAGTCATTATTCAACACATTGTTATTGTTAAATAAATATCGTCAAATAATCGAGATGATTATCGTGATTATCATTTTTGCCATAATCGAGCAGCCCTAGGTTACCCGGTGTTATAGAGCTCCGTCTGAAGGATAATAAAAGCTCTCGGACCACAAGGCATCAGCAAATTGTAGGCAATGTGCAACAGTGTCATTCGTGCAGCATACCACACACTAAACAACACCGCGTGTCTGCTCACCAGGCTCTCTAGAAGGTATTCAAGGGTTCCAGGGCTCAACAACCCAATACTGGGCAATCCTACAAAATAAAAGGTGTTGTAAGAAACAGGGCAAACATACCAAACATTTGGTCTTTCTTTAGGTTTATTGAAAACATAAAAATACCAAAAATTAAACACAAATAAACCAGAACTGTGGACTGTACCGGCTAGCTTCTCTGCCAGGCATCCCAGGACCGCAGTGGTGTTTCTGTGTTTAGCGGGGTTTAGAGCGTCTTGTTGTGCAACGGCTGAACTCAGACTCAACATGTCCGAGAGTTTCTGGAGAGCATCCTGAACAGAAAAGGAAAACTTCAGCGAGGATCATTCATTGTTTCTCCACACAACCTAAAGTCAAGCACCACAGAAAGCTGGAACGCTTCTGTTTTAAACATTTAAAAACACTTCCATGATCCTGACAGATGATGCTACAAGGACATAAACCAGGATTATTCCATGCACAGTTGGCGCGGAGCACCCACAATTTCTATTCTAAGATTGTACTGATTGAGTCTTAGGGCCCCGTGATCAGAAGGTCAGGGGTTTGATTCCCCTGAACGGCTACCCTGAGGTACCCCTGAGCAAGGTACCGTCCCTACACACTTCTACCCAGGCGGCCAATGGCAGCCCACTGCTTCACTGAGTGAATGGGTTAAATGCAGGAAGGAATTTCCCCACAGGGATCAATAAAGTATATTATTATTATTACATGATATTGTGTGAAATATAAGTTCCACTGGATTCACTGCATTTCTGTGGGATACTGTGAGGAGCTCACTCTGTTCAGAGTGTAACGGTACGGCCTCTGTCCCCACATCACTGATCATGGAAGCAGGAGGCACATTTTATTTGTTCAAAGAAGTTAAAAAAAAAGGTTGTGGGTGAAGGGGGGGGTCGGAGGGAAAAAACAAAAAAGTTTTAGCTGAATGAGCACTTCTTGTTCTACACAAGATTAATCTATCCTGGACAATAATAACAATAACTGTGATTTCATTTTTATCATTTCTAATTAATAGAAATGATAAGAAATCTACAAAAATAGCTGCACTTCCTTTAATCTGTGTGACTTGAGTGAAAATTGAAACTAATGATTAAAAATGCTGCTTCCAAATATAAACGAGCATCTTTTTAACTGAAACATATGCGCAGAGAAATGTGAGTGAGCGAGCGTCATCAAAATACAGAACAGGGGAAAGAACAAGTCAAAGATTGTTGTTCTGATTAGAGCTGCAGTCACAAACAGAAAGGCCAAGGAACGGCAGATTTAAGATCACATCCATTACTTCCTAGGTTAAAGGTCAGATTGATACCTTGGTGGGTAGAGGACACTCATCCAGGAGAAGTGTGATCACTGCAGGGCCTAGTGGATCATCCAGTGGAATCACTCGTATCAGAGACTGGACAACCTCCAGCCAGCCGTCATCTAAGAGAAAACAAGAAACTTTCAACCGAGATTTTGTATCACTTTTGTTATTTTACACTGTCGGTTTTTGGTAATCTGCCTCCTTGAGAATCAAAAGATTCGTCATTGTCATTAAGCAGTCACACAACATAATTCTGTATGATAGTTCTCAGCTTAAAACACAGAAAGACTTCAAATAAATAAATACACACAACAGGGAAACGAATAAAGAGGCAGCATTGTAGCCGCACGTTTTAAAGTGCAGGAGTCCAGTGCATGGCCCGAGGTGCCTGCATGCGTGCGTCTGTTGGTTCTTGGTCCTATACCGTCCTCCAGAAAGAACAGGCACAAAGTTTATCACCAGGTGGGCGGAGTCTACAGCTAGCTTTCCTTCTGGACATGGCCAGCATACACTGGATCCAGATCTGGGAGAGACCGTCCCATAAAGCCCTATGTTTTTCTCACTAGTTTCATGCAGCTGCCATACTCTTACACTAAGACACAAGATGCTTTTCTATTGTGGTTCTGCAACAATTCGCCAGCAGCCTTGAAGGAAGCCCAGTTAGTTTAACCTCTTAAGCACCCAAATAAGGGTGCAAAAGGGAGGAGATTGCGGAGATCATAAAGCCGCTGGGGGCTTAACAGGTTAAGCTTTCTGGGGAAGAAAAGAGCCTTTGCTGGTCCTTCTCTACCAGGCGAGATGTAAATTAAGGCACAGGCCAGGTCAGCCGTGACATGAATGCCCTAGATCTTACGGTTCTTTACCTGCTCTACCTCACGGTAGTGAGCATGTTGTGTGTTCCAAAATACATAATTAAAATCTAAGGTGCAATTATTAAATGGTCCCACAAGATTTTGCCTCATTTTCTGATGTATTCAGCTAGAACAGAGTTGCACACAGATGCTGTTTGGATACTGGCATTATATGGTTGACACTCGTGTTCTGTCTGTAGGGCAAACCAGCAGTCATTGAGCCCACACTAGCAAAAGTAGCAGCACACTTCTTGGTCTCTTTTCTGAGACTTGTTTATTCATTTGTACAAGGTGTATTTAATCTGGCTCAAATTCCATGATTTGCCCATTTCATCTGAATGATCTCCAGTGAGATGTTTCTGAAAGGAGCAAGTATCTGTGGACTGATGAAGCTGGTTGGAAAATTAAAACTAAGAAAAAGAATAAAACAGTCAACACTGTGTGAAATCAATGTCTGGGTTGTTTTTCGCATAAACTCTTAAATAATAAATACTAAGTGCAAAATATAAATTCCTTTCTCTTCTCCATCATTTCCTTTCACAGCTGCTGTTAAAGCCTCATCCAAGCAAAGCTTCCTCTGCTGTTTCTCTCACAAGGAAAGAAGATGTTTGAGTATAAATCCGTGCTCACCAACATAACCCTCGGTTGTGAGTATAATACGCAGCCTACTAAAGCATGCATTTCCTGCCCATTAGGTGACTCAGTGAGAAATCCTTTCTGTAATATCACTCATGAAAGCCAACTATCTTATGAATAATTTACATTGCTTGCACGTGTCAAACAGAAAGTGACTGGCTAGCTGACTGATTTGCTTCTTGGCTGGACTCAGGGTTCAGGACTGCAAGCTAATACCCAGCTTGGCTGCTGTCAAGCCACACAACACCGAGCCTTGTGAGCGTCAAACACCATATGTGCATGACACCAGGCTTGTGCAAGAATTCACAAGGTACCGCATACACATCCAAACACTGCACGCCTCAAGCAAATGTGAGGGCTTCAACCATATGCACACGAAACCACAAGCACAACAAAAAGAATTCAACAGAAACATCAAACTAGCACAAAATGATTCCATAAATAAAACTCACTAGATTGGGGTAAAAGTGTGAACTCTAATACATTATGTATGTGGGATAAATCACGACTGTGTCCCTTCCCCAAATGATGAACTGCTCCCCTCAGGCTGGGCAAGCTGGAGTACATATGCTGAGGAAGCAACCTTAGCTCGGGACTGCTGCAGTCTCCTCTGCTCACATTCAGTCCACTCAAACCTGATCGTGCAGGTTTTGCGTATTTTGGTCAAAACTGTGCTTACTGTTAACAAGAGATTGCACAACCCAGACCAGTTTTGAACACTACAAATTGCACAATTGAAGCGTGCATGCACACTTATCTGAATAAGGGAGATGATACATCAATTCAAGACAAACAAACGGGGACTGAAAAATGACTAGAAGAAGCTCATACACGGAGCAGATCTCATCCAAGTGCTAATGCATGGTGTCATCCAACTTTAAACTTAGCAGTGCTACCATACAGGTGTGCTTTCATTATAACCTGAAAATAATTGGATCCACTTGGAAATCCTTTGTGGTTAAGGTGAGATTAGATGGAAAATAGAGGCACAACATAAATGTGACAAACTGTTAGCTGCACTTCCTGACTACTAGCATAATCTCACCAAGACTTTGTACTGGGGAGCAGGTTTAAGACCAGGTAATGTCTGATCCAGTGGCACCTTGCATTCGTTTCTCACGAGCACCTCTGTTGGGCAACTCTTAGACGAGGCGAGAGCTGCAGCGCATGTGGGAAAGCTTTAGAAGGATAAAGCCATTGTCACACATACGGGGTCTTTTCTGACAGATAAAGCAAACTCTGCTGCTGAATCGCCACGAAATGGTAACCAGTCAGTATGATGTCCAGAAGTGCGCATTTTAGAATACCACAGGTAAATTTGGAGCAAGCAAGTTTTCAAATAGTCCAGATATATCAAAGCAGAAAAACATCTACTGAGTTCAATGCACTGTAATGATACTTCCTTAGCACTTCTCATAAACAACTCAGACATTGAGCCTGAGGGGGGAAGGGAAAGCATATGCACACAGGACTGTTAATTCCTGGAACTCCTCTCTAGTCACTAATAAAGATAAACCCTCTCGATATTAGAGAAATGGGTTCATTTGACAAACCAAGAAATGTTTTTGTCACCTTATCATATCGTGTTTTCATCACAGAGCAAGTGTTCCTTCTTTCACACATCTGATAACCTTTGAACCAACAATAAAAGCTCTTATGTCACACAGAGCCACACTTCTTCACATTTTTAAAGAACACCGACTTGCCAGAGCGGTGTTTGTTTGCTGTGTGGCTTCATGTTTTGTGTTGAGCATGTGAACGTGTTTCAGAGAAGTTTCCTTACCCGTCTCTGCCATCTCATGCAGCGTGATCATGGAGTAAGGAGGCTCTTGATCACTGAAAAACAAGGCAGGGTTTTTTGTTTTACATCTTTTTCACTTTACCCAAAAATAACAAACTTGCGCGTGCACAATTAACACAAATGTAGTGATGCTCACTAAAAGCACTCAACCAGCCAAAGTGTTTGTGACCCTGTGATCACAGCATCTGGAATAATATCAACAAATGACTCATGTCTTTGTGCGTTTCTGTGATCACAGTAATGGATATGGACAACAGTGTTATCCTGTGGAGAGGCTGAAGCGAGTGTATAGTTACGATGTATCTGGTTCAGTGGATGTAACTGATGATAACGCTTCTGTTACCATTACTTATTGTAGCTGATCCCAAAAAAATCAAACCCACTATCACTATAGCCAGCCACAGACTCGGCTTAATTCTCAGATTTCCTACCATTAGTTAGTAATACTGCAAGTGAGATGTCCTTCATTAATTTGTCATATTGTTTGCACACGGCTGGAATAATGTTTTAAACACAGCCATTTTCAAACTGAGATTATGCAATAGTATTTTAAGTCTACTTTATTTTGCCAATACATCGATTTTAAGACAAACAGTGAACCTCTAAAACACTGTTAGTCTGATTTTTTGCAGCTTATTGTTGATTCATACATGTACTGTTATCCTGAAGAGGTATAGTTGTGTGGCAACACGCTGTTAAAACAGATGTCAGTGATGTTAAATGAAAAATCTGGAAATAAAAAAAAAAGGGGGCAACTGAACAAGTGGCTGAAGCCAACATCAAACCACCGAGAGGCTGTGATGGAAAATCTGTTCTGTTGCTTTAGGTACAAACTGAGATGTCTGCACAGAAGGCTTTTAAACACGATGAAAGAAGAGTTAATAAAGACACCGTGGCTGTTATTTGGTGTATACTAAGAGACAGTTGCACAGATCTGGGACAACAGTCCCAGTGGACAGTAAAATCTCTCTTTTCTGATTATCTACAATCACAAGGAAATCAGTTTTCCTTGGGAGCATCTCTTCTTATTGCATGAACTTCAGAAACATGACTCACTGTACTACACCTCAAAATGCAAGTTGGTTCTTCAACGACAACAAATACGTGGAGGAGGTGGCACGGGCTTATGGGTTCTACTTATTCAAAGCCACAGGTTCTACAAATTAATGCTTGGAACTGCAGCTCAGAGCTCTTAATCACCTTTGTTTTAAGCAGGCTTTTGTGTGAAAGTATTGATTTTTTTCATGAATAAGCTGCAGCTGCATGCTTTATTATTAATCTTTTCTTTATAAAAGATCCCAATTTCCTGAAAAAAAGAATAACTCCCCAGTTTATTGTTATAATACCACAAGAATAACACTGAACCCTAATTGACACCTAATTGTTAACCCACTGTTAACATTACAGGTTGACGTTATTTAAAAAAAAACCAAAAAAAAACCCCAACAAGAATTAGGACAGACAGAATTTAAGAGCTGTAGACCAAGAACACCCTAAGTTTCATTTTGTTGAGCTTATTGAATAGTTGTTGGCATTTTCCAACTTACTTGTCTACAAGTGTCCTGATGACAGCCAGCGTGTCCAGCACCAGGCCATCTACATTCTGCTTTTTCCGTCTCGGCTCATGAGGCCCTCGACCTCGACGAGGTGGCCTGACCGGGTCCCTGGGCCGACTGCTCCGAGCCTCTGCGGCGTCAGCACCCACACCTGCACTGTGATCCACCCGCCTAGCTTGTCCTCGGGTTGCTCTCGATGAACCATGATGTTGGTCCTCTAAGTCACTATCTTCTCGACATACACAGCTATTACCCATGGTTCCAGAGTTGGAGACCAAACTGGCAAGTGTTTCCCAGAATGGATGAAGGGACTTTGAGGAAGAGAGGAAGAGCAGAACCTGTACAAGGCTCCTGCAGGCACAGAAAGTAATCCAGGTGGCTACTATCATATCATTTGGAGAGCTTGGTTTTGGGGGGTTCTTGTCCCTGTGGGCTGGGTGGGGCCAGTGCAAAAGACCATACTGTTGCCAAGCAGAGACTTGTGTGGGACTAGTGATAAATGGCTACTAAAATGAACCAGAAAAGGTCTGGTGATGCAGCCAGGAAAGCTCGGAACATCACAGGCAACCAAAGGCTTCAGTCAACCTCTCATCCAGGACTGGATGGATCGCTGTGAAGGCAACACAAACACAAAACAGAAAGCATTTAGCTCAGCTGCTTACTCAATCTGTCAGTGCCGCCAGCAGCAAATATTTAGACTTGCGGAAACGACACACCCCGTACGATAAATGTCAGCAGATTACAGAAGTTAATTATTGAAATTAAACATGACTCCCCTTTCTCTCAAACAAAAGCGCCACTAAACGACGTTCAGTTGTTTCAATCTATAGCTGTGCTGCTCAATTAAAAAGGCACAGTGTATCACACGGAGCAACTAAACGATGACACATTTTAGTATTGTTGACAAACAAGAGCTTTTCAGTTAGCTGACTTGCAAGCTAGCCACCCACAAAGCAAGCAGTTGTCACGTTAAAAAGGAAACTCAAGTTTCCCGAACTTGTTCTTATCATTAAAAGCCACAATGGTTCCATTTTGAACTAAAGACATACTTACGGTGCTATCTTGTAAAACAAACACCATTCAAAGCGCAGTCGAGCCAGACCAAAGTAGTTAACAAACCAGAAGGCTAACAAGGTAGCTGCGTTGTGTATGAGCTAGCCTCCGAGCTGTTAGCTTCGATAGCTGGACCCTCCTCCGATTCTCCCGTCGGACTACACAAGTTAGGTAACGAGAGGAACAACAAGCTGAGCGTGGTACTCGGGTATCAGGACACATTTACACCACCCGTCTATATTCCGCCGTAACACACCTTCGCTGAAGTAAAACAGCAACACGGTCATAGCGTACACATTTTAAACGACGCTACTAAGGAGCGCTAGCTGGTCGCTAAGTTCCGTAGCGCTGCCAGCTAAAAGGTTGGTCATCGTCAGCTGTGGATGCGAAGGCGAGACTGGAGGAGAAGGGAGGATTTTTCTCTCTAATGTTACGTGAACATAGGAGTTCTGCCTGATGGTTTTTCTCTTAATACATGTATGAGAAAATAAGAAATATATGAATTAATTTGTTCATTTTAAAAGGAAATTGATTGCGCAACACAAAGTTCAAAGAATTAAAGAAATGGTATGCTACACCTGAGTTCAGTACAGCAGAGGGGGACTATAAGACTAGTAACCTTTAAATTTGTACACATTTTATTCATTCAGCCTGAAACATTTACTAAAGTGACCCCCCCCCCTTCAAAAAGAAAGAAAGAAAGAAAGATTTCTTTTTTTTACTCTCCGAAACATCAATTAAGGATATTTTATCTATTTAGTAATGCCAGATGGACTACCTATGTGTTTATCATTCATCTGAGGTTCAAAATAATATATACCTATAATATTAACAGGTTAAGACAAATAAATCAAACGCCTAGGAAAACAAAAACATCAACACACATGCTAAACAATGTCATTTAATTTCACATGTGCAGATATTGAATACTGCAGTCGTTACATTTGAGATTTTTTTCAAAAGACATGTCCTGCAAAGCAGTCACACATCCTGCTGCGGTCCAGGGATGTATTAAAGGAGTAGTTCCGATACATCCCGGTCTTCCTCAGCTCTTCGGTGAATCTTTGTGATTTGGGGTGGAAAGTGCACGGAGAGCTTTCAAAGGTTGGAGGGAGGCGACCGTAGTCGGCGGATGTGGTCTTATACATGATGCTTTCGAGCTTTGTTCCCGCTGCAGACATCAGATCTTTTGCTTGTGGAGTAATCACGCAGGTAAAAACTGGGTTTCCGGGACTGGTTGATGTTTTGGCATCTTCTGCCTGCTGCTCTGGAGAAACAGGCATTGTTGATCTTCTATTAAAAAAGGAGGGGGAAACGATTTAGGAGATTATTTACACATTTACATTAGGTATATATGGACTCACTAATGGTCAATGGAGAGTTGCATATAGCGGGTATTAGTTTTACACGGATTTAAGATTATATATATATTTCAGTGATTACAGTTAAATTATTTTCGAGCATAGAGCGGTCCAGCGATCTTTGTGATTCATGTCTATTCATTTCTTTTAACTTCACTATCTAGCGCTAAATTTCGCGCCACTGGGTTTTTTATTGCTTGACTGAAGCGTTTTTGTTTCCAAACTACGATGTGATTCATATAATTACCTTAGATTCGTGAACTCAACAAAATACACCGACTGGTCACGGGTTGAAGACAGAGAAACATGTGGTTGCCATAGCAATGACGACCCAGGCGCTTGACCTCACATAATCTCACGAGACTTTCAAAGAAAGCGCGAGAGGACGGGGCTCCGACTCTTTTGTACTGGAAAAAAAAGACTCTCTGTCATCAGCAGCTGGACATAGTTTAAAGAAATAATTACAGCTACTGACAGATATTGGCCCTGGCAAAAACAAAAAAAACAAAAAAAACGTAATAACTTGCCTATATTTCCGAACTTTGGTTCAAATCTACCTTAAAATATTTAATAGTATCCCCCAGCTCGCTATACTAATAATTAACATTCAAGTATGAGCACTATTTTCCATCAGGTACCTTAAACACAGCACCACCTTATTCCTCTCTTCAAACATCTCCCTGAACTCATACAAGAGTCTCATATGTCAGATGTAATGCTGCTAACTGCCTCCTCTCAGACATGCTCTGGACAGTCTCACAAGCAAACACTAATCAGAGTAAACCAAGTTATATCACAACATAAAGAGGCCTGATTAGAAGACTGAGAAGAAGAAAAATACAGATTAGATGTGAAAAGCAGGTTTTTTTGCTTTGCTGTCAGAGATAAAAATCAGGCAGTCTGGCGGTCAAATAAAGGAAGACATAAAAAACAACAATAACAAGAAACCAAAAGAAACCACAGTGTGTGGCCACTGTTTGATATTGCATGATCTTAAGTGCAAAATAATCATTGGAGAAAGAGTGACGGTATGTGTTGCTCACCAAAATATAGAACATACCACAACCCATGGGGCACTAAATAACCATAGACACACATGCATGCATGCATGTGGTAGAAGACAGAGACATGAAACTCAACTAATCGTCACTTTAAATATGTGGGAGGGCTGTGACAAAGCAAGGACTTGAATGGTGACTGACCATTTTCTGCATACAGTTTTTGGGTCCCAATGATCAGTGAATCAGGTCATTTAGATAATACTCTAAAATAACTCCTGATGGGCTAAACTTGCCTTCAGGTGGCATACAAGGCTGTATACTGTGGAGCATAAATGCCACGTAGCAGTCTAAATGTTGCTCTTGTGTAAGTTCACATATTTGGACCAATGGCTGTACATAAACATACATATATACTGCATATATACAATCTGTGGTTTCGAGAAATTGTATTGGATCTCCTGCTAGTAAAACTCGTCAGATTCGTATTTTTCCACTGCACGTAAAGGCGCCATTCACTGCGTCATCAGCACGTGACAACTGGGTACGTAGAATTACTGCGACTGCTCTTCTCAAACAGCAACGGCGTTGTTCTCGGACGTAAATCTGGGGTCCTGTTGCTCCCCTGCTGTTGAGGCTAGTTGGCAGCCGGCTGTGTCTCGGCGGGAGGATGGACAGTGAAATCCAACGGGATGGGAGAGTCCTGGATCTCACCGATGATGCCTGGAGGGAAGACAGGCTGCCGTACGAAGACGTCACCATTCCTTTGGTAAATGTTAATGCTAAGGTTGACGTCAACAAGGAGCAACGATTACAGGAAGCAGAAATGTTTTTGCAGGATGTTCCCGAGCAGTGCAGTTTATGAGAGGACACTCCATAATATCCAGCTTTTTACTTAATGCCAGTGACTTAGATTAGCGCTTTATTAATCCCTCGGGTGGGTTCCTCCGGGAAGCTCAGTTTCCAGTAGCAGAACACCGAGTTCGAGTATAAAGTAGAGAAGAATGAGAGGATATGAACATAAGCTTAAATATACACGTGGTTTTGGGGGGGATTTTGCTTTGGTATACTTCTCTGTCCTGTTCTCGGTTTACAGAAGATGACATGCGCATGCTTACCTGCTTTCTACTATATACACTCATTAGATACACCTTGCCAGGGTTAAAGCCTTCAGAACTTCTCTGATTTTTCATAGCGAAGATTCAACAAGATGCTGGAGACATTTCTGAGATGTTGAACCATGTTGACATGATAGCATCACGCAGTTGCTGTTGATTTGGCCGTCCACGATCCAGATCTCCTACTTGCACTACATGTGCCGTGAACACATCGTGTACAAGAAACAACAACATTTTTCCAGTCTTCTGTTCTCAAAGTTTCATGAGCCTGTGTGAATTGCGGCTTTAGTTTCCCGTTCTTAGTTGACCGGAGCAGCACCCTGTGTGGTCTTCTGCCGCCGTAGTCCATCTGCTTCATGGTGTGTTGTGCGTTCAAAGCTCTGCGTGCTTGGATTGCCTTCACCTTCCTATCAGCTTGAAACTGTCTGCACATTCTCCTCTGATCTCTAACACCAACAACACATTTTCACCCATTTGTATGTTACCTTAAACACAAGTTACGGTTTTGTGGGAAAATCCCAGCAGATCACCAGTTTCTGATGCTGGTTTGTTGCAGAGTGAGTTGCCTGAGGCTGAGCAGGACAACGGGGGATCGACAGAGTCTGTGAAAGAGCAAGAGATGAAGTGGACAGACCTCGCCCTGCAGAGCCTACATGAGAACACACCGAGCACCGGAAGCTGAAAGACTAACACAGAGTCGAACTGTACAAATAAAATGCACAGACGTGGTGCGCGCTGTGTCGGTTTTGACACACAAATGTGCCGTATCTTCTCGGCGCATTGGCCTTTTACTTGGTGGTGAACCATCCATCACTCTTATTGTAAAACATAAACATTGTTTATACTTTATGAAACTGTGATAAATGTGAGCACATAGTCCTCCTGTTTGTGTGTGCATTTGTTAAAGGAGCCCTGGCTTTGAACAGATCTAGCCTCCTGAGTTTGTAACAAAATCATCTCACCTTTACCCATGCAGTAATACCAGAGTTATCTTGCAGGTAGTCTGGCCACTGGATGTCGCTGTACTATAAAAGCAGCCAAATTATTGGGGGAAAAGGTTTGCTCTTATGCTTAAACATGCTTAAAACACATCGATTCAACTTTCAGTTTTCTGCTACAGTTGTGTGTAACACCAAATCTGTGCTCGTTACATTCACACCAGTATTACTACTTAACCCTAATGACACTGTAGCTAACATACAGTGTGTTATTTTGCTATGCTTTATCATTTTCATCTTCTGCCTGGGTAGTATCTAGCTAGGGCATCTGCATATTTCGTACCGGCTGTCTCTTTCTTCTGCTTTAGACCATTGGCAGCATAATAGCCTGTTAATGTCCAGAAATGGCTCTCTGCTCTGAGCGTCCATCATCACTGTGTCTGTGCTGCTTCTGTCGTCAGCTTGCGAATCTGGTCACGGGGTCCCTTCCCCAGCAGCGCCGATGGGTGTCGGTACGAGCCTCCCAGGCGATCCCAGAGTGTGAAGTATTGTCCGTAATTGTAGTTGAAGTACAGGTGATGATCAACATGGTGAGCAGCGCCGTTAATCAGAAATATCAGCGGGCCTGGAAGGCGGTAGTCTCCATCGTGGATGGAAATGGTCCAGATGTTGACGAAGACAAAGAGGGAGAGGTAAACCACCTGTAGTTTAAAATAACTCATGTCAGCTGAAGCATTTCACAGTTTGAAGACAACGGTGCACTTTCTCAATTTCAGTGTATCAACATCCACTTTGTCCAGTCACTTAGACGTTTACTGCAGTTTAATAGCAATAACTTAATGCAGCCCTGATTTACAGCAGGGTTGTCAAACACCAGGCCTCGGGGGCCGGTGTCCTGCAGGTTGTAGATCTCACCCTGAGTCAACACACCCGAATCACATGATTAGTTTTAATACCAGGCCTCTGGAGAACTTCGAGACATGTTGAGGAGGTAAATTAGCCATTTAAATCAGCTGTTATGGATCAAGGACACGTCTAAAACCTGCAGGATCCTCGAGAACTGGAGTTGCCAACCCCTGGTTTACAGCGTGGTCCTCCTTTGACCTCAGATCGGGCATGTCAGTATTTCCTAGCAACAGCAGATGATATGCACCTTGTGGAGAGGGAAGATGAAAGGGTAGATGTGGTACGGTAAGCTCTGCAGGAAGCCATCGAGTGGGTGGAAGGCATGGCTGGCAAACGGTGTTGGTATCTTGAAGGTATGGTGCTGCTTATGTAAGTGCTGAGGGGGAGAAACACAAATGGTGTCAAGTCTGAGATTTTCTTTTAATGAGAAGATACACAAGACAAACGAAGTCAAAGCTGTGGAGTTAAAATAACTATAAGAGTAAAAGAATATTCTACGTTTCCTTCGGCTGCTCGGTGTTTTACTGTGTGCTAAACCGAGCCTGTAACCTGTTTGGTACAAACAACTGTGAGCATAAAAGTGCTGAAAGCCCAAAAGGTCATGAAATCATTGTTTCATGGGTTCATTGGTACAGGTGGACCCTTTTATTATAGGAAGCCACCCACTGACAAAGGTAACTGACTGCCTGGGGCAAGTGTAGGTTGGCAGTACAGATGCTGAAGCTCACCTTGTAAATGTTCTGATGGTGCATGGCGCGGTGAATCCAGTATATACACATGTCAGTAAAGAACAAGAAACCAGTGATGCTTACGAGCAGTCGTGACCAGCCTGGAGCAGAGACATACATGAGTTTTCATTTTTGCAGACTCTTTGTGGGTTGGTTAGTTTCAGTGAGTTAATCGCACGCAGCCTTAAAGTGGACACGCTCATTCACTTCATACTTGTCCTTAGTGCAGCCACTCGCCTCTCCCTGAAAAAAGCACTTTAAATCTCATCCCTTCACTTTAAGGCAGCTGTCTTTTGATTGGCTGCCTCACAGAAGCACCCGATTGTGCTAAACACAGCTGTGCAGCTGAGATGACCATATGAGGGATATCTACTCACTATACCGTTGTTTACAGCGCTGTCTTTTTCTTTTTTCACTTAAATGACCTCGGACAAGAAAGCCTCATTTCTGCTGTTCAATACTGAAGAAATTTAAACTTCTTAAAATTATGCAAAATTGCAGAATATTTTTCAGGTTATCTGCTATCAAAAGCCAGACCAGGAAAATCTCCCTGATGTTTTTCTGTGTTTTATTCTCAGTTACTTTCACACAAAGGCATCTGCTGTGATGTTCACAATTCTGATGAAGTCTCACATGTATCAGTGCTGATAAATGATCAGAATTATAATATTTCTGACTGTCTGAGGCTAAGTTGAATCGAATCAGGACTTTGAGAACCGGAATCGAATGGATTATAGAAATCAGTGATGATACCCAGCCCTAGTGAGCAGCCTGGGCCCGACAGAGTGGATGTAGCTGTAATAAGAAAAGATGAAAAGAACTATTGATAACTTTTTTGTTAAGTTAAGGCCTGATCCGTCTGAAATTCATAGCCAGCTCTGACACAGTGCCATCAATATTTGAATGCTGAAAAAGCAGCAGTGTGTCCAGAAAACACATTATATGCTGCAATAAATGCCCGAGTGTCCCCTCTAACACTGCCTGTCAGCAGCAGACAGCAGCAAACAGGTCGTCAGAGGAGGCCGAGATGATGATTAAGTTTAACATTTTCTACAATATTGACAAAGCACTTTAAGCACAAGTTTGTTAGTTAATAATTTAGAAATGAATATTGTCTGTATGGACTCCCCCCCCAAAGAAAGTGCACATGTAAAACTGCAGTGTTAAGTGATGCGGTTGAAAAATCTGAGTGCGCCTTACTTTTGTGCCGATGCGCCTAAATTTTTAAAGTTAGGCGTACCGGTGCGCCCATGGCAAGAGGTTAGTCTAGAGCCCTGATATATATGCCTGCATATATTGTGCTATTCTTGTGTATTGTCTGTCTTTTTTACTGTTTGTTTATAATGGAGCACTGTAATGAAAAAGAATTTCCCCCAGGGATCAATAAAGTATTCTGATTTGAGCCTTTAGCCATATTTACTATAAGCATTTTAACAGTACATTCATTAAATACAGTAGGCTCACTTTGAGAATCTCATTTTTAGTTTTACATTAACTGGAGCGAACATGAATCGTGTGCTATAATATGTAAATAACCGTTTTCTCACCCAGGGAGTTTTCACTGACGCTGTCATGAAGTTTGCTGTGTCCTCTGACTTCCCAGAAGAAAAGCACCACGGTGGGAAAACTCATCCAGAAGATGGAGACTGTTCCCAGCTGGATCTCCTTTCTTACTTGATGCTGTTAGTGAAGCAAATGCACCAAGTTGGGGTTTAGGACAACCTTGGTTTGGAAATGGTACCAAAGCTGGCTATCCATCCACTGGCCTACCTCAATAAACTGCGGATGCTTCATGAGCACATGGTCAAACACATAGTAGAAATTAAGAGCACCAAAAACCAGGTAAACCAGCAGAGCTCCCACGTTGGTTACCACCCACAGGCTGATAATCTGGCGCACAGCCCAGCTCTCAGGCCATGAGACCGGGTAAATGTAAGGAGTGAAGAAGTAACAGTCAGCTATGTCCAGCACATGATCCATGGCAGCCTGTGAAGACAGTAAATGATGTCCCGTAGTGCTCTTAGCATACATGAGAGAGAGCAAACCAATCACAGCCCGCTTTGCTAAAATTAGGTGGAGTGGAAACGTTATTATGTTTTAGCGAGAATTGAATAGCCTAAGCTCTGTGGTGTGCACGGCACACACTCAGGGCTGCTTCAGCCAGAGCTTTGAAACTGGATCATCTGTGTCACTGCTGCTCTGTCAGAGAGCACATGTACACATTTAAGTGCATGAAATACTGCGAAAGGAGCAACAATAATAAGACAGTGAAATATAAGTTTGTGCTGGTACAAAATCCAACACTGCCCCTGCGAGGCCGATGCATAAAACACTCAGCTGTTCACTTTTAAATCTTTTATTTGAACTTTTTAGTTACGTACCTGCTCCCCGCGTCCCTGCATGACTACAGAAGTTCTCAAGCTTGTTTCTATAGTAATCGAAAAGCTGTTCTGGATCTGTTTGGTTCAACATGAATCATGAGCATTTCTCGCACCTACTCACCCTCTTCACTCAGTGACTGAAAACAAACCGTTGTTTAGTGCACCTACTGCAGCTTCATCTCAGCGGTCAGTTTAAGAAAATCCACCTCAACTTTCCAGGTTTTATCTCATTACTATTTAAAAATTATTGTTAGTGAAGCGTTTATTGCTGAATTCATCATTTGTGCTGCACTGACCTGCTTGAGGACGGGCTCTGTCACCAGATTAGAAAGAACCTTCCTAGAAAGTTGATGAGTGCTCACTCCTCCTCTCACAGTCTGTCCAACAGCAGATCATCTGGAACAGAGAACACGTGGCCCATACGGAAAACTGCTCCGCTGCTAACATGGGTTTACCGTGCAATCGGCCGCCGTCTCCACAAACTGCAAGAGAAGCTCCGGTTTTCTTTCTTTTTTCTTTTTTTTGCGAGGTAGTTGACACCGTGTGCTCAGTGGATCCAAGAAGACACAGACATGCCTGTCCAGGTGGAACAAGATCCCAGCACGCTCAGCAAATAACTCAGAGCTCAGCGGCAGGAGCGCTCCGCAGCTGACACCATTTTCTCACAATATCTGTGCTCATTGAATTAAATATTATATATATATTCTACACAGTTGTGAAAAGTGCATTGTAGCAACTCAGCTGTATTATCTCAGTTTTAATGCAAAATTAAATCCCTTGCAATGGTCAGCATGTCATTTTTGCGTGTGTGTAGTGGATGTACCCTGTCCCATGCTGGGCTTGGAAGGATCAAATATAGCAGCTCAGCTGTCTGCCCTGTACACACACACACACACACACACACACACACACACAGAGTTAAGAGA